GAGGATTGCTCCCAATCCTCCAGGAACTTGAGACTGCAGGGAGCTGTGTTTGCACCACTGTACTCCAGGCTGGGTGACAGAGCGAGACGGAAGGAAGGGTTTGTGGCCAGGTTCTGGGGGAACCCTGAGCAATTCACACCTTTTCTGAGACTCTGGTTCCTCATCTATAAATGGAGAGGGAGCTCCTTCAAACATTTTGTCAGGATAAAATGTTACGCTGAATCTGACAGCACATTGGAATGCATGTAAGCCTCTACCAATATCAGGTCACAGTGATAATAAGCACCTTCCTCCTTCCCTTCCTCTGTATCTTCCTTCCAACCCAACCCATCACCCTTCCATCAGACCACAGTGATAAGGACCTTCCTCCTTCCCTTCCTCTGTATCTTCCTTCCAGCCCAACCCATCACCCTTCCATCAGACCACAGTGATAAGGACCTTCCTCCTTCCCTTTCTCTGTGTCTTCCTTCCAATCAATCCATCACCCTTCCATCAGATCACAGTGATAAGGACCTTCCTTCTTCCCTTTCTCTGTGTCTTCCTTCCAATCAATCCATCACCCTTCCATCAGATCACAGTGATAAGGACGTTCGTCCTTCCTTTCTCTGTGTCTTCCTTCCAATCAATCCATCACCCTTCCATCAGACCACAGTGATAAGGACCTTCGTCCTTCCCTTTCTCTGTGTCTTCTGTCCAACCCAATCCATCACCCTTCCATCAGACCACAGTGATAAGGACCTTCGTCCTTCCCTTTCTCTGTGTCTTCCTTCCAAGCCCAATCCATCACCCTTCCATCAGACCACAGTGATAAGGACCTTCCTCCTTCCCTTTCTCTGTGTCTTCTGTCCAAGCCAATCCATCACCCTTCCATCAGATCACAGTGATGTAAGCACCTTCCTCCTTCCCTTTCTCTGTGTCTTCCTTCCAATCAATCCATCACCCTTCCATCAGACCACAGTGATAAGGACCTTCCTCCTTCCCTTTCTCTGTGTCTTCCTTCCAGCCCAATCCATCACCCTTCCATCAGACCACAGTGATAAGGACCTTCCTCCTTCCCTTTCTCTGTGTCTTCTGTCCAAGCCAATCCATCACCCTTCCATCAGAAGTGATAAGGACCTTCCTCCTTCCCTTTCTCTGTGTCTTCCTTCCAGCCCAATCCATCACCCTTCCATCAGACCACAGTGATAAGGACCTTCCTCCTTCCCTTTCTCTGTGTCTTCTGTCCAAGCCAATCCATCACCCTTCCATCAGATCACAGTGATGTAAGCACCTTCCTCCTTCCCTTTCTCTGTGTCTTCCTTCCAATCAACCCATCACCCTTCCATCAGATCACAGTGATAAGGACCTTCCTCCTTCCCTTCCTCTGTGTCTTCCTTCCAAACCAATCCATCACTCTTCCATCAGACCACAGTGATAAGGACCTTCCTTCTTCCCTTTCTCTGTGTCTTCCTTCCAACCCAACCCATCACCCTTCCATCAGATCACAGTGATGTAAGGACCTTCCTCCTTCCCTTCCTCTGTGTCTTCCTTCCAATCCATCACCCCTCTCATGTCCTCGACGCCCTTATAATTCTTTGGGAACCTTCTCCTGACCTTTTCCTGTTTGAGACTCACCTATTCCCCATTTCTACTCCAAACCTCAATCAGCTGGCAAAGACCAGAGGATACGTAAATTAATTTATATAATTTACATTTAGAAGTGTATCCAGGCCGGGTAAGGTGGCTCACGCCAGTAAATCCCAGCCGAGGTGGGAGGATCGCTTGAGGTCAGGAGTTTGAGACCAGCCTGGCCAACACAGTGAAATCCCATCTGTACTAAAAATAAGAAAATTAGCCGGACATGGTTGCGAGTGCTTGTGATGCCAGCTACTCGGGAGGCTGAGGCAGGAGAATCACTTGAACCCGGGAGCGGAGGTTGCAGTGAGCCGAGATCACACGATTGCACTCCAGCCCAGGTGACAAGAGTGAAACTCCGACACACACACACACAAAAAAGTGTATCCATTTGCACTGGCTACTGTAAGAACATAGCAGAGTTGGGGACTTAACAACAGAAATTTATGTTCTGACAGATCTGGAGGCTTGAAGTCCAAGATCAAGTTGTCAGCAGGGTTGGTTTTCCTGCGGCCTCTCTCCTGGGCTTGCAGAGGCTGTCTCCTCCCCGTGTCCTCACGTGGTCTTCCCTCTGTGCGAGGAAGTGTCCTAATCTCCCCCTCTCATAAAAGCGCCAGTCAGATCGAATTGCATCCTGCCCTAGAGCCTTGTTTTAACTTAATTACCTCTTCAAAGACCCTGTCTACAAATACAGTCACATTTGGAGGTCCTGGGGATTAGGATTCCAACATATGAATTTGGGGGCCCATAATTCAGGCCATAACAAGGAGATAATGGTAAGTAATCCCCCTCTTCTAAAATTCTTTGCATTTGTAAAGAGGATGCTGAAGGAAAGAAAACTGTAAAGCAAAGGATGTCTGAAGAAGGATTTAGCATTTCAAGACCAGTTGGACGTGGGGGGTATTTTTGGCTGGGGACCCTCTTGGCACCCCTCACATACCAACATACAGACAGCCACCTGCTCTGCCCACGAACACGGCTGGCACTGGGTAGACAGACCACATTTTCATCTTCTTTCTGTATTCCAAAGAAATAAGCCAGTCTCACCTTCCTGCCTCTAAGGAACACCAGGATTTTTTAACTAGTTCCTTATATGGCAGCTGTTTCAGCTCTGCCTGGAGAATTTAAGCCGTCAGCCTGGCCAACTGTTGAATACTACAGGGAGAGACATTATTTGGCTCCCAGGAAATAAGAACTCCAAAATACCTACCATAGCAGGGCATAGCCCTGAAACGGCTGCCACTTCCCCGAGCCACAGAGCCAGTCTCTGTTCCAGCTGTGGCGAGTTGCAGAGAGATAAATGACCGGCTGTGTTTTTGTGGGGAAGAAAAAGAGAAATGAGCTTTTTAGCTTTCTGCAAAAAGAACAGGGCTCCTGCCTTGGGTAATTCAGACTCGTTGCTAGAATATGGAATATGTTGTTGGCAGAAAACAGAGGTGAGCCCAGCAGGTATGAGCTGCTTGCAAGAGAGGGTGTCAGGAACTCCACCTGTCCCCTGTAGAGACTGGACTTCCTCAAATGATATCCATGACTCACTCTTTGCCTCGAAAAGACAGAAACCTTTCATTACTCCCTTACTTGTAGAAAATAGGTTTGTGTGTGTGTGTGTGTGTGTACAGATATTTTGACAACATAGCATTTGAATTCAGAGACTGCTGGAGCTTTTAGAACAAAAAAAGTTACAAATGCACAATAATCTTACTTGCTAATTGGAGAGGAATGCCCTTTCATATAGATATACACATATATGCAGTTGATTTTGTGCATTATGAAATAGGTGAAATGTTTTGCTCCATCCTCTTTCCTTGTTCACAGAAAACGAGGCTCACTGCACATCCAGGCCGTTGTAATAAGGATTGCTTTCTTCGTCTTCATAAAGCTCTCAAGCTATAAGCCAAAGGCTGTTGTTTGTTTGTTTCCATTTACAGCTTGCCAGCAGCCTGCTAGGTGGTGGTCCAGAATCCGTAACTAACTGCAGTCTTGCCAGATAAGACCTGGGGAAGCTTCTCCATCTGCCTGCAGTGGCAATCAGACCTGTACTGATGAAATGGGCTAAGTTCAGGGAAGGCTGGGATTCAGACAGTCGAGAGATGAGGGAGGTAGATGTTTCCCTAGGACATGCTTTTTAGTCATTTGCTGAAAAGACTTTCATTGCTGTGTAAAGCTGCCAGCTGTCTGGAACAAAGGAAACAGATACAAGGGGCATTCTTGGGAATAAAGGGCATTGCCACCTTCAGCAAAGAGGAATAGGACACAAGAACAGATATAGAAAAGGTTCTAAAGGGAAAGGAAGATTCTGCTGCCCAAAAGAAAGCAAGATAGCAAAGGTCTCCTGGAGTTTGGATTGAAATAGGAGGTGAATGGTGACAAGGAGACTGAAAAAGCAAGTCAAAGGGACATGTGTCTGGATAGGCTGTGTCATAGTGTGACAACAAGTATGATACAAGTTAAAACAGCCCAAGTTCATTTCTTATGCATGTTAACGGGCCCTCACAGATTAGCTGGAAGCTCCATCTCTCGGTCTCTTATGATCATCCAGTAACTAGGCTGATGGAGGCTCTCTTGTGACACTGAGACAGAAGGACAAGAACATAACTTAATTTATATTGAACGCTAAATGTTAAAGCTTCCACCCAAAATGGGCGCATATGGCTGTTGCATTTTGTTGCCAAAGCAAGGCACTTGACCATCCTAACTTCCAGGGGATAACGAAGTGAAATCCCTACCATGCTTGGAAAGAGGACCAGAATTTTTGGTGAATAGCACTAGTAGTCATTAGTGTTACAGCAAACATCACAGACTGAGAAAAGGATGGGAGGGAGGCCCTGGGTGGGCGTGGTAACCATGGTCACACACACTGAAGGGGCTGGGGCAGGCTTTGAATAGGAATATAAATCTGGTAGGGAAATTATGTCATCAAGGTCCTATTTCTAAAGTCTTGAGCTGTTGCATTCATACACATACACATGCAAGCCACTGATTGTCATCAGGTAAGTAATATATCTTTAAATATTACTTTTGCCCCATTCTCTTTCTCTTGTCATTTGGGACACCAGTTACAACTATGTTAGAACATTTCACAATGTCCTATTTATCTCTTGGTTTTTGATATTTATCATCTTTTTGCTTGTTTGTTTCATCTTAGATATATTTTTTCTGACCCAGCTTCTAAGTTTACTAATTCTCTTTTCAGCTGTGTCTAATCTGATGTTAAACCTATCCAATATGTTAATTTCATTCATAATATTTATCCATATTAGAATTTACATTTGTTTCATTTTTTTATACTTTATAAGCATAATTTCCAGTTATTCATCAAAATTTTTAAGCTTGTCTTTTATATTCTTAAACATATTAATCATGGTTGTTTTGAAGTTTGTTTGTTATCTGAACTCCTTATGGGTCTGCTTTTTCTATTGTCTCTTTGGTCATATCTTATCTTCCTTTATGACTGATTATGTCTTGATAGGTGTCAGATATTATATATTTAAATAGATAATTTGAGGCTTTGAATGCTGTTATATTCTTCTAGAGAGGGTGCACTTTGGCATCTGGCCAGCATCTAGGCTAGAAACACTAGCAATTTCAGGTCACATTAATTCAGCCAAGGATAGATAGATTATTTGAAGCTGGGCTTAAGGCCCTGTGAGGGCTAATCTATTGGTTCACACTTACTTTCAGGTACCTGATAGCTTAGGGTATTTACTGGGATCCCTCCTACTCAGCAGTCTCTGAAACCCGCAGTTGCTTGATTTGTGGAGAACTCTATTCAGCTTTTCAGTCTCTCAGCTTCCACTTTCAACATTTGCATCTGCCTCTGGGGAAAAGTGGTCCCAAACTCCAGGATCATCTCTGGGCCTCCGTTCTGTCTCACACCTGTTTTCTTCACTGATTGGGTATCTCTCTGATGCCTCTAAATGGATGTAGTTATATTTCACTAGGCTTTCTAGTTGTTCTGAGTTTGAGAACCATTTCCAGAAGCAAAACTCTAAGAAGTGACATTTGGATGAGATCTGAATGATGAAGAAATAGAATTATCAAAATCCGGGGAAGAATGTCCAAAGCAGGGGAAACAACAAGAAAAATGTTTTGGAGTGAGTGAAAATTTGGTTGTGTTCAAGGAATAGAAAAGCCATGGTGTGTGGAAATTAGGGAGCAGGGCGAATGATTGACATGCGGTCAGCAAGGGAGCAGGGGCCAGATCACATGGGCACTGGAGGCCATGAGAAGGGGTGAGGGTATTTTTTAAAGAATATTTTCTATTCACAAGAGCAAAAACATAGAATCAACCTAAATGTCCATCCATGGTAGACTGGATAAAGAAAATGTGGTACATATACACCATGGAATACTATGCAGCCGTAACAAAAAATGAGATCGTGTCTTTTGCAGGAATATGGAAGGAGCTGGAGGCCAGTATCCTTAGCAAACTAACACAGGAATAGAAAATAAAATACTGCATGTTCTCACGTGTAAGTGGGAGCTAAATGATGAGAACACATGGACACATACAGGGGAACAACACGCACTGGGACCTATCAGAGGGTGGAGGGTGGGAGGAGGGAGAAGATCAGGAAAAGCAACTAATGAGTACTAGGCTTAATAGAATTTTCACTGCAGAGAAAGAACAGACAATAAGAAAAAGTCAGGATTGTGATCAGTTCTAGGAAGGAGGTGCACAGGATGTGGAGAGACCAAGTTCCTGAGAGTGGCTGGGGAGATGTCTCTGAGGAGGGGACATTCACGACGCCATGAGGGAAGGAAGCGCTGGAGCCAGCCATGCGCAGTCTGGACAAGACAGCATCAGGAATGACAGGTAGAGGAACAGCCTAGCACATTCTAGAAACAATCCTAGTCTCAGAGAACCTGGAGCAAGGGTAGGGGTAGCAAAGGATGAGTCAGAGCTGATGGAGAGGCCAGACTGGGCAGGCCTCGGAGAACAGGGTGGGAAATTTCATTTCACGCTGAGCACAAAGGGAAGCCAAGAAGGGTTTGAAAGCAGTGAGGCCATAATTTGATTTGAATTTTTATTTTTTATTTATTTTTTATTTTTTAGAGACAGGGTTTCTAAGGTGGTAGTGGCACAGTCATAGCTCACTGCAGCCTCCCCTCCTGGGCTCACGCAGTCCTCCCACCAGCCTCTGTAGTAGCTGGACTACAGGTGATAGTCACCATTGCATCAGCTAATTTTTATTTTTCTTTCTTTTTATTTATTTGAGACGGAGTCTTGCTCTGTTGCCCAGGCTGGAGTGCAGTGGTATGATATTGGTCGCTGCAACCTCATTCCCGGTTCAAGCGATTCTCCTGCCTCCGCTCGCCAAGTTAGCTAGGACTACAGGCGTGCACAACCATGCCCAGGATAATTCTTTGTATTTTTAGTAGAGGACAGGGTTTTTACCATGTTGGCCGGGCTGGTCTTGAACTCCTGACCCGGCCCCCTTCTGCCACTCGGGCTCCAAAGTGCTGGGATTACAGGCATGAGCCACCACACCTGGCCACATCTGGCTAACTTTTATTTTTTTAAGACAGGATTTCATCACGTTGCCCAGGCTGGTCAAACTCCTGGCCTTAAGTGATCTCCCTTCCTTGACCTACCAAAGTGCTGGGATTACAGGTGTGGGCCACCATGCCCAGCCTTGATTGTACTTTTAAAGACACTCTGGATGGTGTTGAAAATCAGAGTCTGAGGGCAAGAATAGCAAACAGGAAGCTGAGTACCAGGCTCATGCCTATAGTCCAGCTATTCAGGGCTAAGGTGGAGGGATTGACTTGAGCCCGGAGTTTGAGGCTGCAGGAAGCTATTGAGAGGCACTGCACACCAGTCTGGGCGGACAGAGCAGAACCCTGTTCACAACATAAGTAAAAGGTACAAAACAGGGGGTTAATTGATCAGGGAGAGGTAATGGATAATGGAGGCGTGGGCCTGGTGGTGGCCATGGGGTGGAAGGAGTGGGTGAGGTCTGAATACATTTTGGGCATGGAATTGGCAGGACATACAAATGGTGGATGCTGGGGTGGGTAAGATGAGGGGAGGGAGGAATCAAAGATGTTACCTAGATTTTGACTTTAGTAACTCACTGGATGGAGAGAAGTACCATTTATTGAGGGGGGAAGACAAGGGAGGAATAGGTTTGCAAGATGGGAATGCGAAGAGTTCTTTTTTGCGTATTCTATCCAAATGGAGAGGTAAAGAAAGCTGTTGGGTATATCCATCTGGCCCTTAGAGGAATGATCTGAACTGAGGAGAAGAATTTGGGAACTATCAAAATGGAAATGGTATTTAAGGGAATAGGAGTAAACGAGACCACCAGAGAGGAGCGTGCAGCTAGAAGTGTGGCAAGAAAGGAGATGCTGGCTCGGGACTGAGCCCTGCAGTATTTCAGAATTTCAAGGTCTTGCCTGGGTGCAGTGGTTCATGCCTGTAATCCCAGCCCTTTGGGAAGCTGAGGTGGGAGGATGGTTTGAGTTCAGGAGTTTGAGACCAGCCTGGGCAACAAAGGGAGACCCCATCTCTACTTTAAAAAAAAAACAAAAACAAACAAACAAAAAACACACACACAAAAAACAGTATTTAGTGACATGTGCCTGTTGTACTAGCTATGAGAGGCTGAGGTAGGAGGATTGCTTCAGCCCAGGTGTTTGAGGCTGCAGTGAGCCAAGCCATGATAATGCCACTGCATTCCAGCCTGGGGGACAGAGTGAGATCCTGTCTCAAAAAAAAAAGAAAACAAAACAAAACCAAAAAAACCAAAATACAGGTCTCACAGGGGAAGAGAAGCCCAAGGGGTGATTAAGCAAGTGTATTAATTTCCTATTGCACTATAGCCAATCACCACAAACATGGTGCTTAAAATAACACACAGTTATTCTCTTACAGTTCTGGAGGTCAGCAGTTCAAAATCAGCCTCACTGGTTGAAATCTAGGTGTGGGCAGAGCTGCAGGAGAGAACCGCTGCCTTGCTTGTCTAGCTTCTGGAGCTGTCTTCCCTGGCTCGTCGTCCTTTCCTCCATCTCTACAGCCAGCAACATAGCATCTTGCTTCAGTTGTTACATCACGTTTTTCTTTGGAAGTCAAATCCCCCTCAGCCTCCCTCTTATAAGGACTCGTGGTTACATTAAGGACTCACCCACATAAACCAGGATAATCTCCCCAACACCAATATCCTCAACATAGTCACATCTGCAAAATCTCTTTTGCCATATGAGGTAACATATTCATAGGGTCATGGGATTAAGATATGGACACTGCTAAAGTTTAGGTATTTGCCTTCTCTAAATCTCATGTTGAAATTCAATCCCTAGTGTTGGATGTGGGGCCTGGTAGGAGGTGTCTGAGTCATGGGGTAGATCCCTCATGAACTGTGTGGTGCCCTCCTCTTGGTAATGAATGACTTCTTGCACTAGTGGATACTGCGAGATCAGATGGTGAAAAAGAACCTGGTACGTCCTCCTCTCTTCCTTCCTCTCTTACCATGTGATACCTGCTCCCTTTTGTCTTGCACCATGTTTGGAAGCTTCCTGAAGCCCTCACCAGAAACACATGCTGGAGCCATGCTTCTTATACAGCCTGCAGAACTAAGAGCAAAATAAACCTCTTTTCTCTATAAAGTACCCAGCTTCAGGTATTCCTTTATAGCAACACAAAATGAACGAAGACAGATATCTTTGGCAGGATCACCTACTGCAGCAAGGCCTGCCAAAAAAGTAGGGGGAAAAAAAACCCAGAATAGAACTTCACAGAAGCTGAAAGAACAATGTTTCAAGGAGAAAAGGGGCAGGGTGCAGTGGCTCATGCCTGCAATCCCAGCACTTTGGGAGGCTGAGGTGGGAGGATCACTTGAGGCCAGAAGTTTAAGAACAGTTTGGGCAACATAGTGAGACCTGGTAGCTACAAAAAAAAAATATATATATATTTTTTAATTAGTTGGGCATAGTGGTGCACTCCTGTAGTCCAAGCTACTCAGGAGACTGAGATGGAGGATCTCTTAAGCCCAGGAGTTTGAGGTTACAGTGAGCTATGATTGCACCACTGCTCTCTAGCCTGGGTGACAGAGCAGACCCTCTCTCTCTCTCTCTCTCTCTCTCTCTCTTTTTTGTGCTTCAGACAAATATTTTTTTCATGTTTGTTTGTTAATAAAGTTAACTAGGACATAGAGCATAAAAGCAATTGTCTTCATCTGTTTTGTGTTGCTGTAACAGAATACCTGAGACTGGGTAATTTGTAAAGAGAAGAGGTTTATTTGGCTCATGTTTCTGCAGACTGGGAAATTCAAGGGCATGGCCTGGCTTCTGGTGAAACTTTCAGTTTGCATCATAACATGGTGGAGAAAGTCAAAGGGGAAGCAGACACATGCAAAGAAACACAACCTGAGGGGCATTCTGGCTTTATAACAACCCGCTCTTGCAGGAGCTAATCAATTTCTGCTGGAACCAATCCAGTCTCGCCAGAGCAAGAACTTGCTAGCATGAGAATGGCACCAAGTCATTCATGAGGGATCTGCTCTCATGACCCAAACACTCCTCACTAGGCTCCACCCACAACACCACCACATCAGGAGAGCGAATTTCAACATGAGTTTTGGTGGGGACAAATAAATCGTATCCAAACCATAGCAGCAATATTACAGAGATATAAGTGATGACCCAAATATAATACATAAAAAATGCCTTTGTGATCTCAACACACAGAGGTAGGTGGGACTAAGCCTGTGGGCTCTAGGATCCAGGCTCTGAATCTGTCATTTGGCAGAAGTAGCCTAGAGTTTAATTCATCAAATAACTGGAAGCTGCAATGTCTCTGGAGTGGCCTGTCACCCATCAAGCTGTGTCTTGGAGGCAGCACAGGGACCTGAGACAATATAGAGTGAGCTGCTAGCTCAAGCCCCCTGTTACATTGGGTCTGCAATACTGCTAAAAACAAGAGTTAGAGCCATACATATAAGCCTTGTCTTGAACCAGAGAGCCCGCTGCTTTGGGTGAATGCAATTGAGAATAAGCAGACGTGAGAACGGATGGAGAAACTCCTCTCTCTCTCTCTCTCTCTCTCTCTCTCTCTCTTTCCACCCCCTCACTGAAGATGAGTCTGTATATTAAAATTCTAAAGAACAACAAACAAATATAATGAAAAATAGCCAACAAACTGAACAAGTAGGAACATTAATTCCTGAAGCACTTCAAATAATAGAGCAAAGTCTGAATTGAACTTAAATGAAGTATATTTGATTCCTCAGAGATAAAGGTGGTAATAACACCTGTAAAGCAAGCATAAGAAATCATGAGCCAAAAAACAAGAGTCAAAAAGGCATGGGAAGTTGGGCGTGGTGGCGGACACCTGTGATCCCAGCTACTCAGGAGGCTGAGGTAGGAGGATCACTTGAGCATGGGAGTTGGAGTCCACCCTGGGCAACATAGTAAGACCCTATTTATAAAGAAAAAAAAAAAAAGGCATGAGAGCTCTAATTCCTCTGCCTGAGAGCACAGTGACCCCTGGCCACTTGACCCTGATTTCTTGCTTCCATTGGTCTCTGCCTGTCCATCAGCAGAAGTGAAGAGGGAAGCCCAGAGTCCTGTACACACCTGGTCAGACACCTACTCCCCTCTCCTCCCGCCCTCTCCACAGTTCTCGTCTTCCCATTCCCTGCTCAGAGGCTCACTGTGCCTTTATCCCTAGTGATCTTGATCCCCATGAAAAAGCCAAAGTCACACAGACTTCCTTTCTCCTCATCAGCAAGACAAATCCTCACTCTCTATTCTCCTCCTCTGGGGTATTCTTTTCCATAGCACTTACCATTAACTGATGTACTCTATGTTTTATTTAAATATTGTACTGAATTACTCATTTTATGTCAGGAGAACATACGCTTGTGTATTTTATTATTGCTGAGACCCCAGAACACAGAATAGTGCTTGGCATTTTGTAGACACATAATAAATATTGTTGAATGGATGAATCACATACATTTAAGAAAATAATAATGAAGAACTCCTGCCCTAACTCCCGAATCCCAAATCCCAAATCCCAGATCCCAAATCCCGAATCCCGGATCCCGGATCCCAGATCCCAGATCCCAGATCCCGAATCCCGAATCCTGAATCCCAAATCCCAAATCCTGGATCCCAAATCCCAAATCCCAATGATAAACTACAGACAGAACAAACAGGGTTATTGAAATAATAAAAGCATAGATTGGGTAAATCTATGGTGAAACTACCTACAACGGAAGACAGAATTTATGAATTAGATTATACTACCAAGAAAATGACCCAAAACACAGCTCATAGACAACAACATTGAGAAGACAGGTTGATAAGGCTCTGCTATGTGCTTAATAGGGGTTACAGAAGTAGAGAACAGCAGAGAATCAATATTTAGAAGAATTTCGCTGAACTGTGAAAGATGTGAATCTTTAAACCCTCAAGTGGAAAATGCACACCAGGCGTCTAGCAAGATAAGTACAAATGAACCCACCTCTATACATGGAAAAACATTATAGTAGAACTGCAGAGTGTCAGGATAGAGAGAAAATCTAAGAAGCTACAAGGGAGACAAGACAGGTTATTATAAAAATAATGTCAGGCTGACCGTCGACTTCCATGAGCAGCAAAGGGTACCAGAAATCAGCGCTGGGATAAAATAATTCACCAAAGTGTTAGTTCAACTAACTGTGATTGGGAAATCTATACACAATTAAACCCTCTTTCAAGAATGGGGAATGTAATGAAGACATTTTCAGACATACACAGGCTAAGAGTTTATCACTAATAGCACTTTTCTGGAAGAATTGCTAATGAATCTATTTTCACAAGAAGAAAAGTAAGCCTGGAGTTAGGAGTGGAGCATAACAACGACTGGTAAACAACCATATCAGTGAAATGCATTGGTAAAACTAATGAACTACTGATCATTCCTATTAAGAATAATTATTATTTTGTCTTAAGAGTGGAGTGAGGAAGTGGTGATCACTTGCCAACATAACTTTTTGAACAATCATCATGGCTGTTCCTGATGCTTCAGTGTTTCATAATCTTCCGTCCTTTCATTCACCAGCCAGCAGATATTTAGGGAGCATTAGTTCTGCAGGTCCCATCCTAGACTCTGGGTACAGCACAGAAGACAACGGACACATCCTCCCTCCCTCCCTGTCTCTCTTCCTCCTCCTTTTCCTCCTTTCCTCCCTCCCTGCTTTCTTTCCCTCCCTGCCTCCCTCCTTCCTCCTCCTCCTTTCTCCCTTCCTTCCTTCCTCCTTCCTTCCTTCTTCTATCCTTCCTTCCTTCCTTCCTTCCCTTGCCATCTTTCCCTTCCTTCCTGAATATGGCTTGCCTGTGTCCCACCCACCCTTCTTCATCTGAATGCAGCTCCATAATTCCCCACGTATTGGGAAGACTCAGTGGGAGATAATTCGAATCATAACAGGGAGCGTGGTTTCTCTACTGTTCTCATGGTAGTGAATGAAATGTCATGAGATCTGATGGTTCTATGAAAGGACGCCCTTTCATGATTCTCCGTCATCTCTCCTCGTCCTGTCACCGATGAAAGCTCTGTTTTTCGCTTCTGCTGATTGTGAGGCCTCCCCAGTCCACATGGGAACTGTGAGTCCATCAAATCTCGCTTTCTGGCAGGGCCAACGGTGGCTCGGCCTGTAATCCCAAGCACTTTGGAGGCTGAGGTGGGTGGATCTGGGTCGGTCTCCCGACCAGCCTGGCCAACATGGTGACCACATCTCTACTAAAAAAAAATAGGCTAAAAAGATTAGCAAGCGTGGTGTGGCGAGGTGCCTGTAATCCCAGCTACTTGAGAGGACTGAGCAGGAGATAGCTTGAACCTGGGAAGATGGAGGTTCCAGTGACGTCACTGCTGCGGTACGGAGCAAAACTCCATCTCAAAAAACAAACAACAAAAAAACCTCTCTTTCCTTTATAAATTACCCAGTCGTAGGATATGGCTCTTTATCAGCAGTGTGAAATGCTAATATCCTTGTCCTTCCTTCTTCACTTACTTCCTTCCTTCCTCCTTCCTTCCTCTCCTTCCTTCCACTCCCTTCCCTTTCTTTCCTTCAGGGATCTCCCTCCATGCTCGTGGGATTCTCTCTGCCGCTCTGCCCCTCTGCAGGTGGGTGATAGGTGGGAGGCCAGGTCAGGCTGTCAGTCCTACAGCTGGACCCTCCCTTACAACCGCGGCTCCTCTGGGCAAATCCAGTGAGGAGAGTTCACAGTGAAAACACAGAAATTTCCGTTTTCTACTATCCAATTCTTGCATCTCACAGCTTAGATCAACTGCAACCCACTAATTGGCTATATTCCAAGAAGCTTTT